AGAGCCTAGAGCCTGTTTCAGATTCTGTGTCTCCTTCTCTCTCTGCCCCTCCCCTACTCATGCTCTGTCTCAAAAATTAATGAACTATAAAATAATAATAATAATAATAAATTAGATTTCTCTTTTTAAAATATTTTATTTATTTCTGGGAGAGAGAGAGAGACAGCTTGAGCAGGGGAAGGTCAGAGAGAGAGGGAGATACAGAATCTGAAACAGGCTCCAGGCTCTGAGCTAGCTGTCAGCACAGAGCCCGATGCAGGGCTCGAACCCATGAACCACGAGATTATGACCTGAGCCAAAGCCGGACGCTTAACTGACTGAGCCACCCAGGTGCCCCTAAATTAGATTTCTAAGGAGGGTCCATGCTTTAGAAAAGTTAGAACTTGCACAGTGGAAAGTCAGAGAAAAAAACACACAAACCCACAGTTTTGGGTTGTAAAATGTCTTCTAGTTAAATATGATGAATGAAAAGAATCTCCTTGTTCATTCTCCTTATTGAACTAACAAAAACTATTGCACTGCAGAGGACAGTGTTAGTATAGCTAGAAGGGGAGCAAGCTGGTCAGGCTGGCCCAGAGCTCACCACAGTAAGAGTTGATGCTAGAAAGCAGAGGGGCTGGACCTGCAAAGTCCTTGGGGAAAGAAAGTATAAACCTAGAATTTTAAAAAATTTTAAACATTTTTTAGTTTAGAGAGAGAAAGAGAGCACAAGGAGGGGAGAGGGGCAGAGGGAGAGAGAGAATCTCTGCGCTGAGCGTGGAGCCTGACACAGGGCTCGATCCCACAACTGTGAGATCATGACCTAAGCTGAAATCAAAAGTCAGATACTTAACTGACTGAACCATCCAGGCACCCCTGAACCTAGAATTTTATATCTAGCCAAACTATTGTTCAAGTTTAATGGCCACAAAGATACTTTCAGATATTGAGGAGCTTGAGAACGTGGTTCCTATGAGCTCTTTTTAAATGAATGAATGAACAAAAATGTCTAGAGAGAAACTCCTTAAGAATGAGAAGGTATGTGGGGCGCCTGGGTGGCTTAGTCGGTTAAGCGTCCGACTTTCGCTTAGGTCATGATCTCGCCGTAGTGGGTTCGAGCCCCGCGTCGGGCTCTGTGCTGACTGCCAGCTCAGAGCCTGGAGCCTATTTCAGAGTCTGTATCTCCCTCTCTCTCTGACCCTCCCCTGCTCACGCTGTCTCTCTCTCTCTCTCTCCTAGAAATAAATTAAAAAAATAAAAAATTAAAAAAAAAAAAAAGAATGAGAAGGTATGATGAAAGGACTAGTAATCCCTCAACAGAGGGGGATGACGTCAGCTACCAGGTGGGCTCAGGCAGGCCATCAGCTACACCATGCCCCCTGCCACAAGCACCATGGTGCAAGAGACATTCACAGTTACACCAAGCTTGTGGCCTTTGCTGCCCTAGCTGATCGATGCCTTCAGACAGCTGCCATGGCTCTGGGAAAGCCATGGGATGGAGGTGAAATGGGGCTGAGGGGAAGTCTTAGGTAAACACCACATGTATCCTCTGGTCTCTTTCTGGTGGGAATGGATTTGGCCTGAGTTGGGCCTGACCCAGCTCTCAGTGAGACACTCCAGGATGCCGGGTGTCACTTGAGGCAGGTCTAAGGGTCTGGTTTTGTTCTACATCATGGATGACAGTTCCATGGCCCTACTCCCAGGTTCATGATGGACCTTGCTAACTGATGGCAACAGTTTTTCCCACAGATCTTTCCCAAACCCAGCTCTCTATGCAGTCACTATGAATTAACAGGGTTAGAGGAAAGTTCCCCTTATTTCCCATCCTTGTTCTGGATTCTGCAGATGGACTGGGTCTAAAGGCAACCAATGCCAAATTGTATTGTTCTGAGAGATGCTCTCAACCTGTGGACCCACGCGTGCCCCACGGCTGGGGAATGGGATCCCCAGGGCCTGCTTTCCACACAGTTGTAGCCTGGCCCCCACCTTGCTGCCAGCTCTGGCGGTCTCTCCTCTTGTGCTGGCAGCTCCCCTGGCCCGGGTTGGATGGCAGAAACTTGCACTCCCACAGGTCCCTCTCGTCACCCTCTCTGCCATCCTGACCCACCTGGCGAATCATCCCAAACTCTCCCTCAGCAGCAGCAAAGCAGTCACAGCTCATTGCCTTAAACATGTTCTCTGCTGGCCCAGATGGACTGGCCTGGCACCAGCTGAAGCTTGCTGTTTGGTCTTAGGAAGAGTTCCAACTGCTAGATGTTTCTAAGTGGAAAGGATGAGTGGAGGTGGTGGGTATCTTCACATGGGTTTGTCTGCTCAGAGGTGTGAGTACGTGTATGCCCAAGTGTACAAGTATATACTTGCGGGGGCTGTCACCAGGCTGCCACAGTGCTTTGTCTCCACTTGTAGGAGAGGAGCTAATTCTCTGGGGTCTCTTGGGTCTTGGAACCTTACCTTCATAGTGGGGCAGGAGCTTCAAGGGGCCGGAAGTTAGGAGGCGAGGATGTCAGCCTCTTGGGGAGCTCTGCGTGTAGCATGACACCCTACCACCTGTGTGTGGTACCTTCCCTCCCCAGCCAGCAGGGTATCCGCTGGCTTCAAGAGAGCAACTCGGAGGCTCTGAGCCTAGGGTCTCAGTTTCCTGTCCCATGAAAGGCTCTGAGTGCTGTAGCTGAGTGTTATGGAGACCCTCACCTCTATGCTGTTGCTCTCAGCAGAGCAAATTCTTTTTGGTTGATAGGTGGTCAGGAAGGGTGGTGAGGGCAGTCCCCAGTGGTCTCGGGCCTTCCTGACACTGACCTTAGTACACCTTCATTGGGGCAGGGCTGGAGGCAGGAGAGAATCTGGCCTGGGCCATCAACAGACTCCTTTTAAGATTGAGAGATTAAGAATTTCCTGAGCAGAGGGACACCTGGGTGGCTCAGTTGGTTCAGTGTCCAAGTCTTGATTTTGTCTCAGGTTGTGATCCTAGGGTTGTGGGATTGAGCCCTGTGTTCTGTGCTGAGCATGGAGCCTGCTTCAGATTCTCTCTCTCTCTTCATCTGCCCCCTACCCCCACTCATGCTCTCTCTCTCTCTCTAAAATTTAAAAAAAAATTAAAAATAAAAGAATTTCCTCAGCAGAGCCTCCAAACTGGGGCACACGTGCCAAGAAGGGGAAGGAGATGAGGCAGCCAACTAAAACATGCAGTGAAAACATTTATATCCTATCTCATCCTTTCAAACTTTTCCATTTGGGGAGATGTGTTTTATCAGTAATATATGTGCACGTAATTGGTGGATAACTACTCATGTGTTGGGCATATGCAAACATACTTTATTGATAGGAACTCATGATAGGCAGAAGGCCACTGGCCTGAAAACTGGGTAGGTTAAGACATGTTTTCTTGTGTGGAAACTGGAATATTTTTTTCTAAATTCAAACTTTCTGAGTTCTCCCATCCATTCGTGAGAGAGATGCTCCAGGACCCAGGATCCAGGACCCAGGTCCCGAGATTCTGCAATGCTGGGGCACCTAGCCAGCTCAGTCAGTAGAGCATGTAACTCTCAATCTCGGCCAGGGCTGTGAGTTCAGGCCCCACATTGGGTGTGGAGATTACTTAACACACACACACACACACACACACACACACACACACACACACATTCTGCAACCCTTGCCTCCCTGAATCCACAGTCACTGTTGGGTGGCCCAGTGGCCCCTCCTGGCATGGGTCTGAAAGGAGAGAGTCCTCCCACAGCATCTGCCCAGTCATAATTGTCTATTACAGAAAGGTCAGCCATGAATTTATCAAAACCTTGTTTGAAGCTGTGGGACCTCTTCCGGTTGCTCTGACTTAAGAAAAACAGTTTCCTTAAGTTCAATCCCCTCCTGGTGAACAAAGACAGTCATTTATTGGTGTGAAATATTTCTCTTTTCAATATTCAGCCGGAGGCAGTGGGGGGCATGCTTTGGAATGCTGCCATGTGGAGCCAAGCCTGGTTTTCTCTCTGGAGCCTGCACGATCTCCCTGCCTCCCTGCTCCTCCTTCTGTTAGTCGGCTTCAGCCTGAATAGGTCCTCTCTGAGCACAGCTACCAGAGTGGCTCCAGGCTCCTCCCCACTGTAGACCTGGGCAGCCACATCTCTCCCTGGATGTACCTGGTATCTGGGGCATCTTTGGTCAGTGGAGCTTGTTGGCCTCATACCTTTCCTGGCATAACTGACAGCGGGCAGCCCAGTTCTGACCAGCACAGTCTGGATCATTTCTCCCACCGGTGGTCGTGGTATGGGACAGGAGGCTACTGGGTACTTAGGAGTGCTGAGGGGGAGGCCGACTGAATTGGCTCTGTGCCTCCCCCCCACCCCAAACAGCACCCATGTGGCGGGGGTGGGGGTGGTCCTTCCAGCCCTGCTAAAACAGCTTTAAGACTGGTTTCTGATCAGTCAGTAGCCTTCAGTGCTGAAAGGGAGGAAAGCTGGTAGAAATCCAGCTATTTTTACCTCCTCCACCTTTCTTGGCTATCTTTAAAAATATCTATCCTTGGATAAGCCATTTTTAGTCTTCCCTGCTTGGCTTCCAGCCACTCCTTCATATCTCTTCTCTCTCCCTCCTTCTCACCTACTTGTCCTCCTGTGTCTCTTCTGCTTTATAGCAGTGTCCTTCCCTCCTTGCTCACCTGTCCTTATCCCAACCCTCGCCAAGCAAGAGCAGTCCCTGTGCTTTTGGGAGGACCATTGGCCTCATGGGGCCTCACTGCTGAGGGTCCAGATCCATGAAACCAGGTCTTCTGTGGGGCTGAGCTGGGTCCTACCTGTGAACATTTCCCTCTCCCTTTCCTTCCTCTCTCCCTTCTCTACCCAGTGGAGACCTTTATTAAGGAGGGCTGCCTGAGGAGGCTCAGGGCTATCCCAGCCATCCTGGTCCCTTATGGGACTTGCATCCAAAGACATGCCACAGATGGAGCTCCTACATCTCTTGCAGGAGATGGGAAGATCCTTGTAGTGAGCAGGATGAGGAGCCATCCCCTCTCAAGTTGGTCTGAGTGGGAGAGGACCTGGGCAGTCATAGGGTGCAGTCCTCACTGGAATAGACTTTTCTTCCGTGGCTTCTCCAGCATTGCAGCCTTTAGTCACAGAGATTCCTCACAGCAGGTTGTTGAATGCTCCTCCCTCTGGGAGCTTCTTGAACCCTGGGAGGGGGTTGTGTCTTTTTGTTCTTTCTCTGACTTCTCTGTTTCTGGCATTTCTTCTGCTCCCATAAACGTTGGTGCTCCCCACAAATATTTCCTAGACCAGTGCTCCCCGTGTGATCTCATAGACTTGCCCGTGAATTGAACCTTTAACTCTCCCCAATAAAAACATCTAGTCTTCTCTGAATTGAATCCAAACTCTGACCCATCTCCTGATACCTCTTGCACCTACCTCCCCACCTCAACAAAACCAGACCCAACCTCATGATTTTGCCGTTTCATTCCCCATTCTCCGCCCACCGATTGGCTTCTGTCCCTGGATCCCCAGTCTCAATGAAAAGGACCATTCCTCCTCAGACCTCAAGCCAGAATACCCCTGATGAAACTTCCCTCCCTCTCACCCCATGGACTGTCTCTTGGGCTATTGCCTTTTTCTCACTGTTTCCCTGCCTCTACTGTCTCCTTGACACACAGCCAGAGCATTCTCTTGTTTGAAAACCTTAGAGGCCCTAGTATTCCCCTGGCCTTTCCCTTTTAAACTCTAAGCTTTCCCATGGTTCAGGCAGTTCAGGGCACATAATTGCTGGGAACTATTCTAGGTGCTGGGGACAGCACTGGCTTAAACCTGCAGGGCCTGCGCCTGCACAGCCACCCAGCCTGAGCATGCTCTGTCACGTCTCTGGGCCTTTTCATGGGCTATCACCTCTGCCTACCTTGCCCTTTCACCTCAAGGAAAAGCTTTGTCAGACTTCTGTCCCTTCCCTGGACTGTGTGGAGGCATGTCATATGGTGATTTGTTTGCACATTTGTCTCCCCTCTAGACTGTAGGCTCCCAGAGGACTGGATCCCTGTCTGATTCACTTTTTAAAAAATATATTTCAATTAAATATTGAATAGGTATTTCTAAAGAATGTAAGAGTACTTATAAAATATGTATAAGATGTAAAGGATACAATACAATACAGTGAACACCTGTGGACCCACCTTCCATTGTCAAAGACATAATTTGTTCATACCATCAATACCTATCACAGGGCCTGGAACTATTCCAGGGATCAGCAGGTGTGAATGACTACATGCCTGAATGAATGAATGAATGAATGAATGTTGGTTTTCTCTGTGAGTATCTCAGCGTGGCTGGGCAAACTCCGTGTGCAGTGGTCCCAACTGAATTGTGTCCCTGCCCTAGTTTAGTCCCACCCTCTGAGCTCACATCTTTCTGTTTACTTTGCATATGTTTATTGAGGGCTCACTCAGTACCAAGTGCGGTGGAGGGACTGGGCTGCAGTGGGGAACCAAAGATCAGAGACCTTCTCCTAGGGAGTTTCCACTTAACTAGCTCTTCAGAAGAGAAAAAAGAATCCAAAGGGCCCAAAGTGCTGCTTACCTGTCCACAGCCTCACTGTGCTCCCAATAGTAACGGTGTGCTACAGCAGTTAAGAACAGGGACTGCAGGCCTTGATACAAGTCATGATGGCTTTGCAAGTTATATAACTCCTATGTGTAGAGGTTTCCTTGCCTGTAAAATGGGCAAAATGGGTCCTATCCTGTGGATTTGCTATGAGGCATAAAGGAATTAATATGTGATAGGTACCTGGCACACAGTGGGGGTCATGGTAAGGTTCAGTTGGCATCACCACCACCGTGGTGAGCAGAGTATTCTGTATGGTGGGGCTGGGGGTGCGGCTGGCAACCAGAGAGGACTCTGCTGTCATTTCTGCAGCTCTCTCCAGCATGAGCTCAGATCCATGGAAGGGCCGAGTATCATGCTGGCCACGTGCTATGGCTTATTTCCTCATCTCTAACACACTTTTGGGCCACGTTTTGCTCTTCTGAGTCATGATGTGCCTACAGCCAATCTATTCCGGAAACACTGTTTGTGTGTTCGTTGTGTGCCAGGGACTGTGCTGGGCTCTGGGATGCAGCTATGGAGATAGCCCACAGAGCTGGCAGTTCAATGCAGGGATCACAGAGGATACACAAAAGCAATACATATGTGATGAGTTGGGAGGTACTCGGTGCTATGGAGAACAAAGAGGCAGGAGAGACAGAACAGAAGCTATATTTTATTTTTTTTTAAAAAATTTTTTTAATGTTTTATTTATTTCTGAGAGAGAGAGAGAGACAGTGTGAGCAGGGGAGGGTCAGAGAGAGAGGGAGACACAGAATCTGAAGCAGGCTCCAGGCTCTGAGCTTGCTGTCAGCACAGAGCCCGATGCAGGGCTTGAACCCACAAACCGTGAGATCATGACCTGAGCCGAAGTTGGACGCTCAACCGACTGAGCCACCCAAGCACCCCTACATTTTATTTTTTTAAGCTTATTTATTTATTTTTTTAGCAATCTGTACACTCAACATGGGACTCAAACTCATGACCCCAGAGAGCAAGAGTCACATGCTCTTCCAACTAAACCAGCCAGGTGTCCCAGAAGCTTCATTTTATTTTATTTATTATTATTTTTTTTCCTTAAATAGTTTATTGTCAAGTTGGTTTACATATAACACCCAGTGCTCATCCCAACAAGTGCCCTCCTCTGTGCCCATCACCTCCCTACCCCTCTCCTCCACTCCCCTCAGCCCTCAGTTTGTTCTCAGCATTCAAGAGTCTCTCCTGGTTTGCCTCCCTCCCTCTCCCCAACTATTTTTCCCCTTCTTCTCCCACATCATCCTCTGTTAACTTCCTCCTAGTCCACCTATATGTGCAAACATATGGTATTTGTCCTTCTCTGCCTGACTTATTTCGCTCAGCATAACATCCTCAAGGTCCATCCATGTTGCTACACATGGCCAGATTTCATTCTTTCTCATTGCCGTGTAGTATTCCATTGTATAAATATACTACATCTTCTTGATCCATTCATTTGTTGATGGACGGTTGGGTTCTTTCCATGTTTTGGCTATTGTTGAGAGTGCTGCTATGAACATTGGGGTACATGTGCTCCTATGCATCAGTTCTCCTGTATCCCTTGGGTAAATTCCTAGCAGTGCTACTGCTGGGTCATAGGGGAGTTCTATTGTTAGTTTCCTGAGGAACCTCCACACTGTTTTCCAGAGGGGCTGCACCAGTTTACATTCCCACCAACAGGGTAGGAAGGTGCCCATTCCTCCACATCCTCGCCAGCATCTAGAGTCTCCTGATTTGTTCATTTTAGCCACTCTGACCGGTGTGAGGTGGTTATCTCAGTGTGGTTTTGATTTGTATTTTCCTGATGATGAGGGACACTGAGCATCGTTTCATCTGTCTGTTGGCCGTCTGGATGTCCTCTTTGGAGAAGTGTCTGTTCATGTCTTCTGCCCATTTCTTCTCTGGATTATTTGTTTTTCAGGTGTGGAGTTTGATGACTTCCTTATAGATATTGGATACTAGCCCTTTATCTGATATGTCATTTGCAACTATCTTTTCCCATTCTGTCAGTTGCCTATTAGTTTTTTTGATTGTTTCCTTTTCTTTTCAGAATCTTTTNATCTTGATTTTTTCCCAGTAGTTCATTTTTGCTCTTGATTCCCTTGCCTTTGGGGATGTGTCAAGTAAGAAATTGCTGCGGTTGAGGTCAAGGAGGTTTTTTCCTGCTTTCTCTTCTAGGGTTTTGATGGTTTCCTGTCTCATATTCAGATCCTTTATCCATTTTGTGTTTATTTTTGTGTATGGTGTGAGAAAATGATCTAGTTTCATTCTTCTGCATGTTGCTGTCCAGTTTTCCTAGTACCATCTGTTAAAGAGGCTGTCTTTTTTCCATTGGATGCTCTTCCCCACTTTGTCAAAGATTAGTTGGCTATACATTTGTCCAATTCTGAGTTCTCTATTCTATTTCATTGGTCTATGTATCTGATTTTGTGCCAGTACCATACTGTCTTGATGATTACAGCTTTGTAGTAGAGGCTAAAGTCCGGAATGGTGATGTCTCCCGTTTTGGTTTTCTACTTCAATATTACTTTGGCTATTCAGGGTCTTTTGTGGTTCCATACAAATTTTAGGATAGTTTGTCCTAGTTTTGAGAAGAATGCTGGTGCAATTTTGATTGGGATTGCATTGAATGTGTAGATTGCTTTGGGTAGTAATGACATTTTAACAATATTTATTCTTCTGGCCTATGAGCATGGAATGTTTTTCCATTTCTTTGTGTCTTCTTCAATTTCCTTCATAGGTTTTCTATAGTTTTCATCATACAGATCTTCTGTATCTTTGGTTAGGTTTATCCCTAGGTATTTTATGGTCTTTTGTGCAATTGTGAATGGGATCAGTTTCTTGATTTCTCTTTCTGTTGCTTCATTATTGGTGTATAAAAATGCAACTGATTTCTGTATGTTGATTTTGTACCCTGCAACTTTGCTGCATTCATGGATCAGTTCTAGTAGGCTTCTGGAGGACTCTGTCGGGTTTTCTATGTAGAGTATCATGTCGTCTGCGAAAAGTGAAAGTTTGACTTCTTCTTTACCAATTCTGATGACTTTATTTCCTTTGTTGTCTGATGGCTGATGCTAGGACTTCCAGCACTATGTTAAACAACAGTGGTGAGAGTGGACATCCCTGTTGTGTTCCTGATCTCAGGGAAAAGTTCTCAGGTTTTCCCCATTGAGGATGATGTTAGCTGAGGGCAGAAGCTTCATTTTAAATAGATCAGGGAAAATGTCCCTGAAAGGGTACCACCAGAGCAAAGACTTGAGGGAGTGCAAATGCCTGCAGATGCAAATGCCCAGAGGAGAGTGGCCTGGCCTAAGGGAAGAAGGGGGAGGGAGGGAGAGAATAGTAGGAGATGGAGCCAAGGGGGAAAGAAGCTGTATCTAATGGGGCTGCAGGGGCCATTGTAAAACCTTTGTTTTTTCTTCTAGGAGGGGAAAAGAAGTGTTGGAGGGTTTAGAGAGAGGAGGGAAGTGGCTGATTTATGTATGTAGAGGATTATCCTGGCTGCCATGTAGAGAAGACCACGGAGGGGTGAGTGGAAGCAGCCTGGCTTGTGTAGAACTGAACAAATAGGGGACGGTGGGGAAAGAGGAGGCAGTAAGAATGGCCAGACTCTGAAGCCAGCAGGATTTGCTGATGATTGATGTGGATGGGAGAAGGAGTCAGAGAGGGTGCCAATGGGAGGCTGGGAGACGCCTGTGTAGGGGAAGATGAGCTCAGCTTGGACACTTGGGTTTGAGATGCCTATGCATGCATATGACATCTCAGTCAAGATGCAGAATTGGCAGTTAGACCAGTGACGGGTTCAGGGAAGAGGTCTGGGCCAGAGACGCGCATCTGGTAGTTGTCACTGGGAAGTGGGATTTCAAGCCTTGAGTCTGGGTGGACCTTGAGCCCCAGGATCCTATATACTCAGAGAAGACCAAGTTCCTCCAGTATAAGGAGCGGGATTCTGGGATTGGGAGAGAGTTTAAACAGGTGTGGCCAGGAGGGAGGAGGAAACCCGGGAGAAGGAGGTGTTCCAGAAGGCAAGTGGAGAACTTATCTCAGGAAGGAGGGAGCACTCAGCAGTATCCTGTGATGCTGCCGAAGTGAGATGAGGGACTGAGAAGGGATTGTCAGATTGATAATGTGGAGGCCATTGGTGACTGTGACCAGGGCAGTTTCTGTGGAAGGGTGTGCAAAAGCCAAGTTGGATTGGGTTGGGAGGAAGGGAGGAGAGGAGCAGAGAAATGGGGCAGTAGCTAAAGGGGAAAGTGGGTCAAAGTGATTTAATTAATCAATTAATTTTGTGGGTGGGAGAAGCATGTTTGTATGGTTATTGAAATCATCCAATAGAGAGGGGAAATGGATGATGAAGGAGAGGGGGTGGTTTGTGAAGATGAGAAGTGGGCTTTGGGAACAGGAGACCGGTGAATATTGGAGGACAGACATCAAGAGGCTGTAGATGTGCAAATTCCCCTCTAATGGCTCCCACTTTCTTAGTGAGATGGCAAACATGTTCTCAGTGACAGTGAAGAGAGTCTCGAGAAACATGCTGGAGGCTTCAAGATCATGAGAAGGGGTGAGGAATCATCCAAGAGGACGGAAAAGTGAAGGGATGGCCGACACGTAGCTTGGTTGCCAAGTGTGTCCTACAGCCACCATGGTGTGTGCACACACCTCAGGCCGGAGTGCAGGGAGCCCCTGCTGGATGGACTTTGCTGGGCTGCACACGGCATTGTTTGCCTTTCACTGTCACTCCTGCTGAGCTGAAAGTTAACTTGAATCTGTATCTCTGTCACACAGATTGTGTTCCCAGAAAGACTACATGGTGATACAACATTGAATAAAATGACACTGTGTACACAGAAGATTGCCTGTCACAGATCAGGCAACTCACATGTAGTAGAAGTGGCTACATTCCTCAGAAGAAACTGCAGACCTTACACAGCCTGGGAGAGGGACTGAATCCCCTCCCTCCACATGGTCTAAAGGGTTCTCAGTAGCTTCTGATTAGCTTTCAGGGGCTGCTTTTTTTTTTCTTTTAATTTTAGTTCCAGTATAGTTAACATACAGTCAGGGGCTGGTTTTAAATTCCAGCCCCAAATCATTCAAATAAAAAATGAAATTATGAATTTAACCAGGTGGGAATCTTTCTTTACCATGCCCAGAAGTTAGTCTCCTGGAAGGCCTTGGAGTCCAGGTTCCAAGTGTGGCCCAGAGATGCTGTGGCCATCACATGCTGGGCCTCACAGCTGGTGGCAAGATGGCCCCGGGGGGCTAGACTCTCAGGCTCTGGAGATCGTATCAAAGAAGGAAGTGGCAGGTCCATGAGATGGCTTGGATGAGTGGGTGGATGCTATTATTGGTTGATGAAAGAAATGTTTGATAGACATGTAATAATGTTTCTTTTTTCTGGAAGAATCGTTATTAGACCAAGGGTATGGCTCTCCCCTCACTGATCCTCAGAAGGGAGGAAGAACTGCAGACGGTCTTAGAGGAGGCCTCCCTAGGTGGGCTCCTCGTCCCCCCTCTGAAATGGCTTGTCCTAAGACATTCCACCAGTTGGATCCTGAATCTTTTTTGCAAACAAATGGCTTTCATCTAGGGGCAGCAAACTTACACTCCCCTCCTGCCAGTCAGTCAGACCCTAGGAGGACACAGGGCCCTGGGGCAGATGGCACCAGGGCAGCCTCCTCGCGGGCAGCTGTGGTCCAGCCTCCGCAGTGGCTCTCAGCCAGTCTGTCCTGTCTCCTGGGTGCCAGCATCCACCCAGATGAATACAGACTCAAACAAGGATAGAATTTCAGGGGACCAATATAAAGCATTGTCTTTGGCTTTTTGTGCTCAGCTTCTTTCAAAATGGAAAAGGAAAATGGGGAAAAGGAAAATAAGGAAATTGAGTTTAGCCTAATGGTTTGACTTTCTACCTTACTGAACTACTCAACTCTGCGAGCTCCCCGCAGCTGCACCAGGTCAGGATGGAGATGGGGGTCAGGTACATTGGACTTCCCCTCAGTGGTTCCTCAGGGGCTGGATCCTAGGACCGCAACCCCACCCAGCCTTGTACTAGCGAAAAAGTAACCCATCTCGATGGACTTGGTCTAGCATCAGGCCTGCTGGTGGACTGCCTGAAAGTAGGTTCCTTTGTCACTGCTGGAGATGGCATTAACTAGCCATCTCCAACTGTCTGAGGTCAGCCTTTGAAAGGGACAAACCAAAACAGACCTTCCAGGGCAATAGCTCTGAACTTGTGCTGTGTTGGGATCACCTGGGGAGGGAAAAATACTAATAACAGGGTCCTGCCCCCACAGATTCTTTTTATTTATTTTATCTTTTATTTCTGAGAGACAGAGAAAGACAAAGTGTGAGCAGGGGAGGGGCAGAATGAGAGGGAGACACAGAATCCAAAGTAGGCTTCAGGCTCTAAGCTGTCAACACAGAGCCTGATGCAGGGCTCGAACCCACAAACCGCGAGATCATGACCTGAGCTGAAATTGGATGCTCAACCAACTGAGCCACCCAGCCGCCCCTGCCCCTGCAGATTCTGATGTAATTTGTCTAGGGTATAATCTGAGAATCAGAAATTTAAAAATAACTCCAGGTGTTCCCAATGTGTAGGTTTAGAGCTTTGGCACTTAAAGTGTGGTCTGCAGACCACAGTATAGGTATCACCTTAGAGGTACTTAAAAATGCAAACCTCACCCTAGACTTGCTGAATCAGAATCTGTACTTCATCAGGATGTAGGAGGGCAACTCATGATTCTACCACATGACCTGATGCTGAGGGTTCAAATGGGAGACACTTGTCAGGGCTCAGCACGGGGCACAATCAGCGCTCAGCAGATGGTAGCTGTGATGATGCCACTGGGCAGGAAGAGGAGGGCGGAATGGGGCTCAACAGGGTCACGGAACTCGATAGAGCCCCCTGCAGGCTGCTTCTCTGAGAAGTGTCTCTAACACAGTAATTTTCAATGTCATTTCAGCGTTTCCAGGAGACTGGACCCCAAGGAGCCCCCGGGTAGCCAGAGAGCAGCTTCCCCAACCCCGAAGCAGGCTTCTGCTACTGCTCCCGGCCGTGAGAGCCCCCGGGAGACGAGGGCACAGGGCCCAGCAGGCCAGGAGGCTGATGGCCCACGCAGGACGCTGCAGGTAGACAGCAGGACGCAGAGATCAGGGCGGTCCCCCTCTGTGTCACCGGACAGAGGCAGCACCCCCACATCACCCTACTCCGTTCCCCAGATCGCTCCCCTTCCCAGCAGCACGCTGTGTCCCATATGTAAGACCTCGGACCTCACGTCGACCCCCAGCCAGCCAAACTTCAACACCTGCACCCAGTGTCACAACAAGGTCTGCAACCAGTGTGGGTTCAACCCCAACCCTCACCTCACCCAGGTAACCACTTTCTGCGCTGGCGTCCCCCGCCTACCTTCCCATGCGTCCCTCGGTTCCCTTCCCCTCTTTAACCAACTCTCTTTTCGTGGTTGTTTCCCTGAGCCACCAGCATTTGTGTCTTCCTGGCTCAAGATGTGATAGCAGAGAACAGGCCTGGCCACGGATCTCCTGAGGGATTCCTGCACCTCCTGAAAGCTTGGGCAGAGTCCCAGAGTAGAAGATGCTTTTGTAGCTGGTATGAGGTTGACCCAGAAAAATGGCCTTAGAGTGACAGGCTTCTGGGCAACTTTTCTCAATGGATACTCATTTGGAGAGGGCTACAAAAAGCCACAGGCTAGAGGGGAGGCAGATTTCCCTGGCCCTAGGCCAGCCTCTCTTCCTGACAGTGGGTACTGGAGGAGGTACTGGTAAGGGAATTAAGGTTTTAGGGGAGGCAGGAAACAGCCTTCTGGTTGGGCTCTGGGAAGCTTCTCATCTGCGCTTCCATTCCAGTTAGCTGGGCCTGAGGTGGTGGAAAAGCTAGCCATTCCCAGAGAAACAACATTAGGGTAGAGACCCAGGCTGGGAGCCAAGCCTTCACAATGGTTGACGGTATCCTACACTGACTGAACCGTCACTGTAGGGCCATTTCCATGAGATTGGCCTCTGTTTTGCCTCAGAGGACTCTGGATCCACAGCCCCATCCTGGCTTTGTTCAGGATGCTTTGAGTTGCTGTGGGATGCTCAGCCAAGACCCTGGAGGCTCTTTTGGGGGGCCTGGAGGCTGGGTACCCCAGTGTACTAGCAGAGCTGGGGCCATGCCTCTGAAATGAACTAAGCGGGTCTGCTGGCTTCTTCCCTCTCCTCTGGGGTAACCCATAGAAGTCTCTAGTTCCCCTTCCAGGGCTCTGCCCTTGGGCAGGATGGAGCATGGCTGGGCTACAGGCACAGGCATGGCCGCCTCTGGGGTTATCAGCGGCAGGAGCCGTTTGGACCTCATGGGTGGGGGAGATGAGTGAGAATAATTGTTCACAGGTCGGGGTCTATTTGTGACATGAGGTGCTGTGGGTGTAGGATGTGTGGTTTGCGAGAGGTAAGTGTGAGATTCCGAGGAAGGAGCTGCCGTTGTGGGGAGATGACTCAGTACGTTTGGAGTCGCTCCTGGAGTGTGGGGGCTTCCTTGAGGAGGCGTGCACACTCGTGATTATTACATCTGTGATTAGAAACAAGCCCATCCCTGTGCTGATCAGTTAGGTAAGTGTTTGCTCTTCAGTACTTAGAACAGTGTGATCCAGACCAGAGAAGCTTACCTGTGTTTGTGCCAGCGAGAAGCCAGAAGCACTGGACCCCCCAGGAGTGAGGTTTGGCAGGCAGGTGTGAGATGGTGCGGTGGCACCCTTTGCGGTGTTGCCCCTCTGGTTTCCAGCCTCCCTGAGATGCTCATTTGAGGCATGGACCCGAGGGACAGAGGTCAAGGGAGAGCCACACATGGGGTACCGGTTTCCTGGTGGGCATCCCAGTCCTTGCCACACAACAGGCTCCCCCAAGCCCCGGACCTTGAGACATGAGAAGGGAGCCAGCCTTCGATGTGCCGGGAAAAACAGCAGAGTGGGAGGACCTTGACCACACTCAGTCCATCTGCCTCATCATGCCGGGAGGAAGCCGAGGCTCAGGGCCAGGAAGGAAGGGGCCTCAGACTTAACTGCAGATTCACGGTGTTTGGTGATGAGTAGTCCTCTCGTGCTTCAAGCAAATCTGAGCCAGACAAATGCACTGGTTCTTTGCTGAGAGGCTTCTTAGGCCTTCAGCCTCCTGAATGGCACCATGGAGCTCCAAGACAGAGCTGTAGCCAGTAGCCCTTCCCAGACTCGCTTTCACAGAACATTAGGGGCTGCTGTTCCATGGCATCAGTTTGGGAAATGCTGACTTAGTCCGTTCTCCAGGTTCTCAGAACCTGGTGGATGCCCTTTTCTGAAGGGGTCTCCAAGCAGAATCTTTTCTACTCTAGAGCTGGCTTTCGGTGGTGTTCCAGTCAAGGAGAAAGAGCCCTCCACATATTTTCCTGAGAGGCTGGCAGAGTGTAATTCTCAGTCAGAGCAGTTGTCCTTTGTCACTCTGCTAAAAGCAGATTCACCTCCTTGGTCACGTGTCCACAGAATGAGAAAACCACTTTGTGGGTTTTGCTCACACACCTGCTGATCTGCCCTAGTCAGCCCATACCTGTTCTGGCACCTCTAACTTGATGTTCTGCCAGGCATGAGGACCGTTTCTGGGATTACCCTGGTGTCAGTGGGCTGGGCTCCTGCCTGGCCTGAGGTGCTGGGCAGGGCAGGGGGCTGGTTCTGAAGTAGGGTGTGTCTTGGTGGCAGGGGGCTCAGGCAGAGCAACCTTTTCCAGGACACCCAGGTCCGGCTAGAGTGAAGGAGAGGTGGTGCTGGTCCCAGCACAGATGCACTGCAGATACTGGCCACTGGGGGGCATACTGGGGTCCTTGTCTGGGGGGTGAGGGTGTGTGTCTGAAAGTGCTAGTGTAGTGATGCTGCGGGGGGGGGGGGGGGGGGGGGGGCTGGGTCCCACATTCTGCCTTGAAGCTCACCACAGCCTAATCAGGGCATGTCAGCATGCTCCTCAGCTTCCTGCTGGCAGAAGGAGGGATACAGTGGTTCTAGAGAGGGACAAGGGCCACGTAAGTGACATGGAGGGTTCCATGGCCTTTTTGAGACTGCTAATGAAGCTGCCCTGGGATCTTTGGAAAGAAATGTGACCGTGGAAAACGGGCCGTTTTCATGCGTGGCAGAGGTAGAGAATCACTGGCTTGTACCTCAAGTTGCAGCACAGATTAGGAGTATGACAGTTGTGCTGAATGGCTCGGTGAGGGCAGGTGAGCAGAAAGGAGGGAAAAGATGGGCACTGGGGATGATGGCCACCAGAACTCCATGAATTTGTCTTTCCATCTCATGGCTTCGATTAGAGTCTTGTTACTTTAGCTGGTTCTTGCAGAAACAGCAGACCAGGTCTAGAGATGAGAATCACAAACAGATAGAACAGTCAACCCCATTTGGCCAGAGCAATGGCTGAGATCTGGAGCCACTACTGTTCTGGCTCGTGGACCCAGTCTTCTCTCAGTTCCTAGGCTGCCGGGTGGGTGCTTGCTCTTCAGTGCAGGCCCCGGTTGGTTAGCTTTCAAGGCTGTGATTCCTTCAAGAGAAGGATGCCTGCCCATGTACTTTGCTGGGCTTGGAGGCCTAGAGCACATTGAGGCTGCATGGAGTCAGGGAAGGAGCTCAGAACACTCTCTGTTTATAGACAAGGAGACCAAGTCTTGGGAATTCATGGCTTATTCAGGGTCGCTTTGGAGCAAAAGACCTGGGGACCCAGAATCAGTGGCTGGATCTCCGGTTTTCCCTCAGGGACTCTCAGCACCATTTTCCCCGTCCACAGTCCACTCTTCCTCCTCTTCCTGAGGAGAGTTTGGAACAAACAAGGCCATCTCAGTCACTCTTCGTGGTGAGGCCATTTCCTACTGGAGTTCTGTGGTCCTGGAGGTCAGGGCAGGTGGATAATTTAACCTGTTTGAAATTGTGGCAAAGGACTGGAGTGGAGGTTCCCTTGTGGGGTCTGAACATCTCTCACCACCCACAAGAGACCCTCCCTGTGAGGATTCACTGATCAGGAGGCCAGAGGCATTAGGATATAAGCCCATTCAGTACCCAGTGATAGGGAAAAGGCAGGAAGATTATTTTCTTCTCTCCCTGGATGTGGATCCTTAGAAAAGTACCTTAACTTCCCAAATGTCTGATTTCTCTAAAGGAGAAGCAGAGGGGCAGGGACCAGCCTTGGTGGCTTTGCTGATGCCTCATGCCGGCTCAGGCCTGTTAGCCCAACTCTCCACTCTTCAATGACTTAACGTTCAGGCCTGCAACCCCTTTCTCCTCCAGGAGGGAGGCCCTTGTTGCACAAATCAGGCTCTATTCTGATAGAGGAGGGTAGGAGACAAGGCATGGTGATGAGCCTGCTTGGTGGAATCTGGGAGATGAGGTTTGGGTGGGCAGTGGGGGTGGGAGCAAGCTTCTGGAGAATATGAGTGGTGGCCAGGGCCAGCCCATAACTGTCAGACTTCTCAGGGGCCTCCTTGCCCTATTCTGAGCAGCCCAGCAACACATCCTGGCCTGGAATTCTTCCAGATGTGTATCTGTCCTCACCATAGGAAGAGCGTCACAGAGCATGTGCTGGTGCAGACGCAGGGCTGGCTGCATGCCTGTGCTGCCAGATCTGATTGGCAGAAGTGGCCCAGAGCACCAGCTACAGTGAGGCTGCAGCCTGCCCCTGGGAGGCCCACCCTCTGCCCCAGCGGGGAGCCATAGGGCTGCTACCCCATATCTAGCCTTCCAGGTTCAGGCAGCTCATCTGAGCTCATCTGCCTCCCACCTCCCTTGCCTTAGTCAGAATTGCTCAGAAGCCCCTCTGAAAAACTACAGAAGAATGATCGTGGTCGACACCAAGCCATGGGTGTTTAATCCACTATGCACTGGCCTCCCCACCATCCCACTCCATCAGCATTTACCCATGGGCTAAGTAAGGGCTTAGGCACTTACCCATGGTGGGCGGAGTGGAGGGAGATGAAGCAATGGCCATAAGCCTTTCCTCTACTGCCTGCATCCCACTCCTTTCCGGCAAGGGCCGGAGCACCAGATGGCCCGGGGGAGGTGCCATGAGTGCCGCACGGATCCCTCTACTGCAGCCACCAGCCTTGCCCCCTTCCCTCTGCTCCATGGCCACACTGCCTCCTGGGCCAGTAGAGAACAAGGAGCAGATGTTAGGAGGACATAGATCAGCAGTGAGCTGAGGAAAGGCAAAGGTGTCTCCCTCCTTCCTGGGCATAGGAGGAAGTGGTGTCTGCACACGTGCCCAGCCCTCCCTTCTCCACCTCTAAGCCAAATGGAAGTGGCTCTCCAGGGGGCAGGCCCTTTGGGAAACCTTTCTCCCACAGTACCTCCAGTCCTTGAACAGCTTGCCTTCCT